TTTTCACTGATACATGGAATTCCTCTTCATTTGGACAATAAGAACTCTACCTATGCATGGTAAAAATGTTAAAAGTTCTATAAATCCAATATACTTGGTGATGATATATTTACAAATTGAAAGATGTAAAATCACACTTATAGCACTAGATTGCCTAGAATGTAGGCAATGGAAGAGTACACACTAAGCAATAAGCAAACTATAAAATATTTAATCCTAGGTGCAGAAAAGAAAGCTTAAGAAAAGCTGAAATCCAGGCAGATTTCTTATCCATTGGTAGAGTAGGTTGGAAGATAGTAGAAATCAGATTGCATTGTTGGAGAGCATAGAAAGGAAGTTGAATTCTGATAAGAGGATGAATTGTTATCAGGACTCTGCTTTCTGGCAAGTATATCACAGATCTTTTTATTTTTGTTGAAATCTTTGGAAATGCTTTTGCAAAGATCCCCATTTCCCAAGCTGTGACTGGTTTTTTCTTCTTTCACTGTGATCCAAGTTGTATCTTCAATGACTTCTGGCCATCAGAATAGGTTTGAAAAAGGCTTATTTGTTGATAGTGCTGTTTGCCAGAGCAATTGATGCATAACAGTTCATGCCAGTCCTTGGCTTTCAGTTGTGACTTACTCATATTATCTAAACCTCTAGCATTATTTTTTCCCTCCCTTGAACAGCATTTGTCAATATTTGTGGTACAGAGAAAATATGCAGAACATTCTAATTTTTCTAGGAGATGTAATGCTTTAACTGTAGCATGACTTTGATGATATAGCATGCAATACCAGGAAAAAGAGATTTTAGCATTAAAACTGTTAAAGAACTGATTGGTTATGTATCTTCAAATCAGAATTAGCTTCTAGTGTCACATAGATTAATATAAGTGTAGATAAACAAGTACAGATGTCTGTTATTCAGTTAAATACTTTAAGGGTCTTCATACAGATATCTTCCCAATAAGTGCATCTGGAACTCAACACAGTTAAAACTTTAAAAGGCTTAGAAAGGTATTTTATCCCTTTTAAAACTCAGTGTGCCTCTATTTAGCTTTCTCTTAGCCTGAAGAAGTGTGAGAGAATAGAAAAAAATACTGGTTTCTGCTCCATTCTTATCCATTCTTATTTTGAGTTTTTGGAAATCCATAAACTATCCCTCCCCCAGGTGGGAAAAGAATGTGTGGGAGAGAGAAACAGGAGGCTGATAATAATCTTTGTAGACATTTTCTAACATATTTAGCATGTTAAATCAATTTTACATATGAATCCAGTTGTCAAATAAAAATGTCTATAGAATTAATTTTTAGTATTCTAGTGCATTGCAGTGTGTCCAGGAGACATGACTCATGGTAAAGCTAAAGACACAAAAGCATTGATTTTCCAATATGAGAGAATACAAGGATAAGGAGCAGATTAAGCCTCTACCTACTTCCATTTTATCCATATCTCTCATAAAAATGTACAGCAAAATGCTGCATTTGAAAGTCTGTAGCAGTAAAAAAAAACAAAAAAACAATCTGTCTTCTTTCCTTTATAGAAGAACATAGGATTTTTGTAATGGTGCTGGAAGCATAGTTGATGCTACTTGAAGTAATACTATTAGGTTAAACATGCATGCAAATAGAAAATTTCTTCAAGGTCCAGCACAGTCACATTTGACTACAAAAGTGGAAACTCTAGTGAATCGAACTCAAGGTATTAACTCAGCAGGGATTATTAAGAAAGGGATTAAAAGGAAAACCACCAAGTTTATATTGTACAGTAATACATTTATATAAATCTATAGAATATCAGCATTTAGAATACTGGTACAGTTTTGGTCACTGAATTTGAAAAATGATACATCTGGAAAACCACAGAAGAATGCAGATAAAATTATCAAAGCATAAAAATTTCCTGACGACGTTCTTCTTTGGTAAGTAGAGAAAAGCAAAAAAGAATGAGCAGTCCTTGATACTAACCAATAAGAAAGACTTAATTGAGGAAATCAAAGTAACCAGAACTGGGTATAAGAGATAAATTCAAAGCAGTGATAAATAGGATTCCATAGCAGAAGAAGCTGTTGAAAAAAGGAGCTCAAGGTGGATGAGAATTCCAAAATATGAAATTCTTAAAGTGCAAATGTAAACAATTACAATAAGTTTAAAAATAGAGGATAGTAGAGAAAGCCGAATGTCTCACAGAAGGTCATTGAGTACTACTGGAGATAGAGTTGGTACTGACTAGAAGGAATACTGTTAGGTTTACCATACCTGAAAATTATCTGCAGGTCCAGCACAGCCAAATCTGATTACAAAAACAGAAATTCCTGAAAAATGAGGGAGTTAATAAAAAAGACTGAAAGGAAAACCAGCTAACAAGGTGAATGCCATGAGATAACAAAAGAATAAAAATATTGAACCAAGAAAAATACTGAAATTGCAGGGAAACTGAATGATTTTTTTTGTACCTTTCATTACTACAGAAGACGTAAGATGGGTAGCTCAAGCTGGGTTTGATTTTCGAGGGTGGGGATGAGGGAGAGAACTAAAGCAGCTAAGGCAAATTGGGTTAACAATGGAGGATATTCTAGGAGATAGCAACATATCATCAGGTCCTGATGCCAGCCACTCTAAAATTCTTACATGTCAAATGGGCATTTAAGGCAAAAGAAAACAATGACCTTCAAATCAAAATCAGTGCCAGAGGATTGGAAAGTAGACAATATGATGCTAATTTTAGAAAGAGATTGTCATGGTTCCGATATATGAGACCAACTGAAACAGAACTTTGTGGCTTGAGGTTTCCTTTAAGAATATGTTTATTGACTACAAAGTATCGGCACTGTCAAAAGTGAAACCAAGATTAAAGTTCCCTCCAAAATGTTACAGTATACAAAGTTAAACTTCCCACCCCATTACTATGCAGTCAGCTACGTTTCCTGATAGAACAGTTTGGCGGGCTTTCTAACAGAAAACTCACCTCCCAGTCTAACAAACAGAAATGACCTTGGTTCCCACGGGACAGAGAATTGTTTAAGCTAGCAGAAAAATTCCACCACCACCCTCCCATTCTGGTGGCAACTGAAAACGAGCCAAATGGCTTCATTCAGGTTTGTTGCAGAGTTGACAGATTTGGGGAGATGCATAAGAATCCCATACTGTCAGCTTCAGAGTAATGAATTGTGACGGGTAGTCATAGAAAATGAATGAATGAATGAAGTTTGTTCCAGGCAAATTGGTAGATATGGTAATCAAATAGTCACTAAACACATAGGGGAACATGAGTGTCAAGAGGCATGTGGATAGAGGTGACTTAGTCATCACTATATATTGGAATTTTCTAAAAGCGTTTGACATAGTTCCTCATCAAAATCTCTTTAATGGTTGTGTGATAAGATTTTTTAATGGACTATTAAAAAATAAAGTAGAAATAAACAGGAATTTTCTTGAATGGAGGAAAGTAAGAAATATAGTCCTTCAAGGATTTTAGTTGGGTAAGCAAGGCCAGGTTTTCACATGCTACCAATTTATTCTAAGTGGCAAGCCATAAATGATAGCAAAGAGCTCTTTAAAGTTGATGAATAAAACTGATCAGGTAAATAATGAATGTGGTTAGCTGAACTAAGTGTAAACAGATGCACATTAAGTCAACATCTGCCTCCACCCTACAAGTTCACATGTATACTTGTTGGCATTTGAATCAAGAAATTAGTGAGAAAAATATCTTGGTTAGTTCAGTTACGATATGAGCTCAGTATGTAGGATTTGGGAAAAGACAAATCATTAAAGCAAAGATGGAAAATAAACATGATCAGATTCTCCAAATTTAAGATACGTCCATATCTGTAATTCTGGTTGCCAACTGTAGAAAAGTAGCCGGAGCTGGGAAAAATGCAGATGAGGACAAGAAAAATAATTTGAACACCTTCCCTGTGAGAAAATGATAGAACTTTGAGGACCATTTATCACTGAAAAAAGGTGGAAAAGACATAATTGAGTATAAAATCATAGTTTGGATAAAATAGAAACACATTCCTTTTCAGAACATAAGGACTAAGGATCATCCAGTAAAACTTATTGAACAGATATAGAACAGATAAAAGCAATACATCTTCATATAAGCACATAATTAACTAGTAAAATTCATTACCACAGCATGCAATGATGATTATTGACTTGAATGCATTTCAAAGAGCATTTATCTAATCCACAAGAATATAGAAAAAGGGTTTATTAAGGGCTGTTATTCGACTTGATACCACGAAATAGGTGGCAGTATTCCTTCAACTACCAATATCAGGAGAAGAATGGCTGGTGGTTAAAGAGGAGTATGCCTTCAGGTTCGGCTTGTATGCTTTCCAAAGGCATCTGGCTGGCCATTATGGGAAACCTAGTGCTGGTTTAAAATGGATGATGACAGGGCTATCCTTACTTTCTTAAGGAATGCAATGTGGGTTTACACTCCAGTAGTTCCTCTGTGTATCTTCTAGAGCAGTGTTTCTCAACCTTGGCAACTTTACGATGTGTGGACTTCAACTCCTAGAATTTTCCAGCTATTGTAAAGTTGCCAAGGTTGAGAAACACTGTTCTAGAGTTTCAGCTGCATGCATATCTTTTCAACATTATTTGTGCAGAATGTAATTCTGCTGTAGAATTCAGCAATACAAACTTGTGCCATGATCAGTAGTCTTCACTGCTTTAAAAGGAAAGTAGACAAAATATATAGCGGATGAAGCTCAATGAGGCTACAAACCATGCTGATAATACTTTCAGAACTGGAAACAATAAGTCTCTAACCACCAGTTGCTGGAGATAACAAAAGTATAAAACTATTTCCCTCATGCCTTCTTGCTTGGCAACAGTGAAATAAGGTCCAGCAATATTTTGGCTTTAATTATGATGAAACACTCTGTTTTTATTATCTTAATCTTTGGGATTTTATTAACAGTGTTGTATTTGATTAATTTGAACTTTCCAGTTCCTGAATTGATATGTTTTACTAAAGCAATGTCTATTTTTTCCCCTGCAGGCCTCAGGGAAACTGTGTTGCTAACATCCTTTCTCATGGTGGTAGGCGCTGGTCTGAGATGCATACCTGTATCCAACCAAGAAACAAGGAAATGGTAAGAAAACTAATAATTTATCTTATCACTAGGAAACTACAATAAAGGATACATGATAAAGATCCCAAATTATTAAGTGGCAGAATGATAGTTTTAAAAGTGGCCAGCTACTGTCTCATGAAAGGCCAGGCCAGCACACCTACTGTAGTCACCTGAGGGAGGAAAAAGAGGATGAAGATCCGTTGGGGTTAGCAGTGCTGGCAGAACACAGTGCCTGCAGAGGCAGTGGCGTGTAGGATAACCAAAAGGGTAGACATGGCAGGAAATAGACAGGTTGGGGGAGTTGAAAAGGAAGCATTTACCTTAGTGAGGGTCAGGGCTGGGAGGGAGCAATATGGGAATGTTCTGGATTGGGTTGGGTCCTTGCCTAATGACCAGTGGGATTCATTTAATAACAGCAATGGGGCCTGCTGGGATTGCCATTGCAAAGCATCGAGGTCACATAATGTCATATTTTATGATCACATTGCTTGGAAATTCTGGTCCCAATTGCTGTCATAACTTGAGGACTACCTGTGTATGTTACATTGTTGCATTGTGAAAATTATGATCTCTGTGTACTTAAGTGAATAGTGAAACAGTAAAATTACCACTCTTGTTCCTGTGTTAAAAGCAAGGTATTTGGGAATTGTTTTTCTTCCTGTTGCATTATGTAAAATAAGTAACAGCTACATCTATACAAAATAAAATGAATTTGAAATGAATTACAAGCAGTTGCAAATGATAGATGCAAACAGTGATTGAGTTGCATGTAACCACAATGCAGATAATGTTTTCTAGGAATTATAGCTATGTAGCTAACCTTGCACAAAAAGCCTCGATAGTTTGAATTTCAATATAAGTTAAGTCTACCCTGAGTATTATGAATCAGTTGAAAAGTAATCATGGAATAGATTTAAAGAGTTCTGAGACTATTTAGAATAGAAAACAAAGGAAAGAAATCCTTTTGTTTTCACTTATTAGCTACCTCCCCAATTTAGTGCCTAAAAATTCTGGAATGGCAGACCAACATATGTGATTTAATACTTACTTTTGCTGTATTTTTTATAAAATGAAATCTTTAAGATAATTCATTTTACAGGTTAAGTTAAGCATGCCTTCCCTTGGCTTGTTTTATCTATTGTCATAAAATCTAGTTCTGTGAAATCATAAATTGAGTTTACCAATAAATTTTCAGAATGAATTTGATATTAAGTGATTAAAAAAACAGATTGATTAATAGAAGAGATTTGTAGTATGGATGTACAGGTAGTCCTCAGGTTATGACCATAATTGAGCCCAACATTTATGCTGTTAAGTGAGAAATTTTTAAAGTGAGTTTTGCCCCGTTTTACAACTTTTCTTGCCACATTTGTTAAGTAAATCACTGCAGTTGTTAAATTATTAACACAGTTGCTAAGTAAATCTGGTTTCCCCATTGATTTTGCTTGTCAGAATGCTGCAAAAGGGGATCACATGACTCCGGGACACTGCAACCATCATAAATGTGAGCCAGTTGTCAAGCATCTGAATGTAAATCACATGACCATGGGGATGCTGCAACAGTCATAAGTGTGAAAAATGGCCATAAGTCACTTTTTTCAGTGCTGTTGTAACATTGAAAGATCACTAAGTGAACTGTTGTAAATCAAAGACTACCTGTATTTTATGTTTTTCTGTTATATTTGCTTTTGGAAATCCACTTAATTTTAAAACTTAATATTTTGGAGTGAGATTTGTGATCTTAATAAGGTCTTTTAAAGAATAGTGCGTCGCAATGAGATGGGACGCAGGAAGGCAGAGCTCTGTCTTCCGCACCCGATTTTGCCCTGCTGGGGGCCCTAAAAAGGGCCTAAAATCACCCCGAAGAGGCGATGAAGAGGAGGGGTGCCTTGTTGATCACAGAGAGACAGCAGTTTCTCCATTCGATCCAAGGAAAGCCCTCCAAACCGGCAGGGGAAAGTCCAGCCACATTCCTGTGGCTGGCCATTAACTGCTGACAACCGAAGGAGAAAAAAGCACTACTTAATACCTTGTAAATAGCATGTTTGGAACTGGGTGAGAATATTGATCCTTTTTTTATTATTTTACAACTGAATTTCCTGGGAAAGATTCCCAAGAAGAAATCAATCCTTTGTTTTAAGAGTGGAAAATGGATTTTGAATGACATCTAGTGGTGGATTTGTGTATAGCATTATAATTTGCTTCCTGGCTGCTTGATGATTCCTAGCTTGGGAGAACAGCTGGCAATAAAGGAAAATATTTTGGCATACTTATCACCCTGACTTTCTTGGATTATAAATACCTACTGAGCTTGGACTTTTAACTTCAAGAGCTAGTGGGAGAGAAAGAAAAATTTGACCTTGGACTACGCCTGGCTGGGAGAGACTTTTTAGCTGTTTTCAGAGAGGTTGAACATTTTGAACACTTCGAACATAGTGGATTACAACCTTGCCTGATTGACAGTTTTTGGATACTTGAGACAAAGGATTACTATAAAATATTGCTTTCAGAACTAAATCTATTGTTTGGAATCTATTGGATTATAAAGAATACATATAATGACCAGAAAACTAGAGGAAACTTTAATTTACTCTTACTGAGTCTGGTGATACTAGAGGATCTCCATGAATGATGCCTCAAAAAAAATAAACACCTTTCAGAAAGAAATATATTCTATGCTACAACTAATTCACCAAACAATTGTTGAATGCAAAGAAGACATAAAAGAAATCATCATGAGACTAAAAACAATGTAGACAATATAAACGAGCAAATCTCCAAATTAAATCTACAACTAGAAAGTTCCGAGATAATGACTACAAAATATGAACAAATAATCCAGAAATCAGAAGACGAAACAGAGGAAATGGAGTTAGAGATAAAAGAAGGGAAATATAAACAACTATATACAAACAAAATACTGCAAGACTATAACAATGACTATAACAATGAAGAAGCAAAAGACCTTTTACCCCTTAGGTCTGCAAAATATATCTGATGACAAGGAGAAGATTTTTAAAAAGGGAACATAGAGCTGTTAAGGGAAATGTCACAACTTGGGAGACAGGGAATGAAAAGAGAAATGGAGGGAGAAAGGAACTGGGAGTTGTTTAAGAAATATAAATGGGCGGAATTCCCATTCCCCCCCCCCCAAAAATAAAATACCCTACCTGGATTGTCTTCCTCATGCCAAACAATTTTTACAAAAATAAAAAGAAAATTCCTGGGCGATCTAATTGCCCTGGCTTGGAAAGCGACTTAGCAAAGAAAGAAAGAAAGAGTCAGATTTAAAAAACAGAAGATTTGACCTTTTAGAGGGGGCATTATATGTTTAAATATGGATGACCCTTAGATATAATTAGACTTTTATAATGAAAAATATGACTTAGAATTAAGATAGCATTTTTTTCTTTTTTCTTTTTGATATGGGAAATATGAAGATAAGAGGAGGATTGATTTGAATAAAACTTTTAGCTATATAAATGTAATTAATACTGAGAAAATCATAACTGATAAAGATATTTCAAATGCTGATGGGAAATCAAACCCTAACAAGAGCACGAAAAACAGGATATTGATTAATGAATTGACTATTGATTTATGAATTGATATTATTGTTATTTGTATGATATTAGTAAAATATGATGAAGATGCTTATCTAACTTTGTATACATTAACAGTACCAAAATTGTAATGGTGTAATGAGGGGAAAATGGAAAAAATATGAAGAAGAAAAGAGGATGAGGAAAAAAATACTGAATTGTGTAGTATTGCACAGATTTATATTGAAGAAGTTAAAGTTAAATATTTGAACTCGGACAACATGTTGTTTACTAAACACTAAAGACTGTAATTTTAAAAAATAATTAAAAAAATAAAGAATAGGGCACAAAATCTGGTTCTCCACATGTAGTTTACCTATGAGAACATAAAAAAAATGGAAGCGTGAAATTTATCACTCCCTTTAATAAAATAAGTAGTTGTATAATACCATATCTTTATCACCTAGTGATTAATGTTAAGTTTCTCTGGCTATGAGTTTAATTTTTGAAACTCCAGTGAACTTCAGAGTATTAATAAGTTTATTCATTAAAAAAGTAGCAGAGTATTCAAGGCACTGGCTTACTTATCTTCATAAAATAAATCGATAAATTATTTGGTATAAAAATTGTACATATCTCATTCCTGTTCAGAATAGGGGGACAGGGGACTGATTGGTGGTATGCATATGAAGAGATAAGATAACCTTTATTATCATTTTTTACTGTGGGCACACTGGCACACATTAAAAATGAAATTCTGTTGCCTGCTCTCAAAAGTGTACACATACATAACATACATATAAACATGCTGTATACAACATATGTATATATCTACACCCTTACATATAAATACATATAAATATTAATCACTGTCCATCTTGAATACATAGCAGAAAGAGGACGCTTGAGAATTCACAAGGTTAATACTGTATTATTACATACACATACACATTGACACCCTTTGATTAAATCATCATTGGAAAGAGCTGTTTTGTAATGGAATTTGTAGATGGATCCATTAAACAAAGATGCTTTGTAGATTAGCCAAAAATTAAACTGACTGGTGCATCTTTTGAAGGTCTTATGAATTGCGGATTCTTAGAAGACAAAGTTACGCACTGCATCTTTAATGCATGGTCTTACTAAACACAACAGCAATATAGAATCCAAAAGAAACTGGAGAAAACCAACAATCAATCAAGTAACCAAAATGCTTCACCAAGGATCTGCCAACAATTCTAACTCATAGCCAGGGGATACAACCAGATGTTAAGGACTCATTTAATGGAGACAAAGTAGAGGTTATGTGAATCTCAGGTGGGATGATGTTCCAGCAATACCATGAGAGAGAAGGCCCACTTCTTTGGGTCCCACCATTGTTTAATTGATGAGACCTGGAGGATACCAATGTTTTCAGACATTATGGTTGTGCAGGAACTATAGGAGATAGGTGCTCCCTCAAATAACCAAGCCTTA